AAAAAAAAAAAACCCAGGGAGCTCTCCAGGGATCAGATAAAAACTCAGCCAGAGAAATTCCAAGTTTAGTTCAGACATCGTGGTTTTAGGGGGAAATTTGTTTTTTTTATGCATCAGATCACTCCATTTAAATTGATTTTCTTCAAGCAGAGAGAAAGCCACGCTCAGTCTGTGCTGTTTAATTATAAGAAGAAGAAGCTGGGGAAAAAACTGTTCCAAAAATCAGTTTTGGGAATTGGCTGCCTCAAAATCAAGGGGTTCATTAGAACCGATTTCCTTTTCTTCATGAGGTGGTTTTGTTTGAAAGAGCAGGTTTGAGATGCAGAGTGATAAAAAGGAAATGRAAAGATAAGGAAAAGCAGGAAGGGTGGCCAAAATGACACCAGAAATGATGGATGTGCCACCCAAAAAGAGAAAAGGAAAAACAGGCAAATCATTAAAAATAGTAACTTAAATAATGGGGAATAATGTTAAAAAATGTTAAAAAATAGTAACTTAAATAATGGGGAATAATGTTAAATAATTTTTAAAGGCTTGGGGAAATCAAAGCCTGGTGGAGTTGCTCAGTCTGGTAAAAAGAGCAGAGTAAATCTGGCAAAAAACAGGTAAATCATTAAAAATAGTAACTTTCATAATAGGCTTTTTCAAAGTTTTGGGGAAATCAAAGTCTGGAGAAGTTGCTCAGTCTGTCAAAAAGAACAGAGAAAAAATAGGTAAATAATTAAAAATAGCAACTTAAATAATGCGGAATAATGTTAAATAATTTTGAAAGACTTGGGGAAATCAAAATCTGGTGGAGAAGTCGCTCAGTCTGGCAAAAAGAACAGAGGAAAACCAGGTAAATCATTAAAAATAGTAACTTAAATAATGGGGAATAATGTTAAATAATTTTTAAAGGCTTGGGGAAATCAAAGCCTGGTGAAGTTGATCAGTCTGGCAAAAAGAGAAGAGGAAAAACAGGCAAATCATTAAAAATAGTCACTTAAATAAATGACATTTGCAAAGTTTTGGGGAAATCAAAGTCTGGAGGAGAAATTTTTCAGTCTGGGTTTGGATCAATCAGCCCAGGAACATCCCTGGGAACGGGGAAAAAGCACAGGGGCAGAAAAAAAAGGCAGAAAACACGGAGGTTTTTGTCCCGTTTACTTCCAGAGGAAAGGAATRCAGAGCTTCAAGTCATTGTACATCATTCCATGGACAGCCCGGGGGAAGCAGGAGCTGCTCCCAGCCCCAATTCCCRGCAGGAACCTGCACTGGTGACAAAGTGACAGAGGGGACACGGCCCCGGGGACAGCTCTGTCCCCACCTGGGGCTGAAAGATCGGGGCAATAAATAATCACCAGGAAAGGAGAGGGGAAATCAGCCCCAAATCCCATCGGGACAAAGGGCCAGGGATGGGAACGGAGCTGGGAGAGGAAATGGTGCTGGAACACGTTCCAAAGGTGATGGAATACATTCCAAAGGTGATGGAAAAAATTCCAAAGGTGATGGAAAAAATTCCAAAGGTGATGGAATAAATTCCCAGGGGTGCTGGAATAAATTCCTGGGGTGTTGGAATTCCAAGGGGCGCTGAATACATTCCCAGGGTGCTGGAATACATTCCAAGTAGTGCTGGAATAAATTCCCAGGGGTGCTGGAATAAATTCCCAGGAGTGCTGGAATAAATTCCCAGGACGCTGAAATACATTCCCGGGGTGATGGAACACATTCCTGGAGTGCTGGGAATAAATTCCTGGGGTGCTGAAATACATTTCTGAAATACAGTAGTGTTGGGAATACACTCCCCGGGTGCTGGAATACATTCCCTGGGGTACAGGATTACATTCCTGGGGTGCTGGAATAAATTCCCAGGGTGCTGGAATAAATTCCAAGCAGTGCTGGAAACAAATTCCTCGGGGTGCTGGGAATAAATTCTAAGGTGTGCTGGAATACATTCCCAGGGGTGCTGGAATACATTCCCAGGATGCTGAAATACATTTTGAGTAGTGTTGGGAATACACGCCCAGGGGTGCTGGAATACATTCCCAGTGATGCTGGAATAAATTCTAAGGGGTGCTGGGAATTCATTCCCAGTAGTGCTGGAATACATTCCTGGGGTGCTGGGAATAAATTCCAAGTAGTGCTGGAATACCTTCCTGGAGTGCTGGAATACATTCTTGGGGTGCTGGGAATTCATTCCCAGTGATGCTGGAATACATTCCTGGGGTGCTGGGAATTCATTCCCAGTGGCACAGGAATACATTCCGAGCCAGGGAAAGGGGCAGGGCTGGGAATCCACCCCCAGGCAGCCAGGCACAGCCCTGCCACGCTCACAGAGCCCAGGGAAGGGAGTGTTCCCATCCCTAAAGCTCAG